TTATATCCTTCCTTCCCTCTTTGTTTGTTTGTTTCTTTCTTTCTTTCTTTTTGTTCTTCCACTTCATTCATTTCGTTCTTTCTTTCTTTCTTTCTTTCTTTCTTTTCGGTCATCCGATTCATTCATTTCGCTCTTTTCATTTCTTTCTTTCTTTCTTTCTTTCTTTCTTTCTTTCTTTCTTTTTTTTTCTTTCTTTCTTTCTGTTAATATCATTCGATTAATTAATTCATTCATTCATTATTTCTTTCTTTCTTTCCTTCTTTCTTTCTTTCTTTATTTATTTATTTTCGTTCATCCGATTCATTCATTTCGTTCTTTTCATTTCTTTCTTTCTTCCTTCCTGCCTTCCTTTCTTTCTGTTAATATCATTCGATTTATTCAATCATTCATTCATTTTTTCATTCTTTCTTGCTTTCGTTTAATATCATTCGATTCATTCATTCTTTCTTTCTTTTTTCTTTATTTATTTTTGTTCTTCCACTTCATTCATTTCGTTCTTTTCATTTCCTTCCTTCCTTCTATTAATATTATAAGACTCATTCATTCATTCCGTCTTTCTTTCTTTCGTTCGCTTGATATTTTTATTTTTTTTATTATTTCCGTTTTTTTTTTCTTTCTTTTTCTTTCACTCATTTCTTTCTTCGGCTAATATCTTGATTCTTAAATTTTCTTCTTTTCATTTCTTTCTTTCTTTCTTCCTTTTTTCCGCTTCATTCATTTCGCCCTCTTCATTTCTTTCTTTCTGTTAATATCGCTCGACTCATGCATTTCTTCTATTCATTCATTCATTCTTTTCTTCTCTTGCTATCTTTATTCCATTTTATTCATTTGCGTTTTTTTTTAATTTTTCTTTTTCTTTCTTTTTCTTTCTTTCGTTGTTTTTCTATCTGCGTTTATCTAAGTTCGAACCAGAAACATCGCTCTAAAAATTAAAATGTCCTAACAAGTAGCAATGGTTTGGCACTAGCTTTTAAAAGAATGCGTTTGGTTAGCTGTTCCGACATGGATTCACACGAATTGACGCATCTCTCGATGTAAACGCGCGCTCCCCTGCAGATGCGCATGTCTGTTTATGCTTTCCTGCACATGCGCACGAATTCATTTTTAGGCGCCATTTTATCTGTGACCGTGTTTCAAGATAATAGAGTTTGAGTGTTTAGGTCACCATTTTCATAAGTTTTTATGGCCTCCTGTTGTGTCAAACTTTTCAACTTTTAAGTGATTATTTATTCACGTAGGTGACAGTTCTCTGAAGGAAAAAAATCCTTTTCGTTTGCGTGAATTGAGTAACTCATTAACAAGTGTGCGTCGGATGTATCTCAAGAGATGATAAATCCACTTTCCTTCAATTGTTCTGGCTTTTTGGTAACTTCTCACGCTAATCTCATTCATTGCACTTAGGTGTTTTTTTTTTTATTTTCATTTTATAAAATGTATGTTTTATTTGTTTTTTTTCTTTCTTTTTTTGGTCTCTCTTTTGTTTCTTTGTTTCTTTCTTTCGAGTCATATATTTTTCTCTCTTACTTTATATTCGCACTTCTCTCTCTCTCTCTCTCTCTCTCTCTTTGGTCTTGATTTTTACCTTTCTTACGTTCTCCCTCTCTCTCTGTCTTTTCCTTTCTTCCATTCTTTCGGTTAACATGTTTTGCCTTTCGATTTACATCATTATTTCTTACGGTTTTATTCTTTCTTTTTGACCTCATCTTTCTGTTCCCAAATTCTTTCTTTCTTTCTTTCTTTCTTTCTTTCTTTCTTTCTTTAAGTCACTACCCCTTTTCCATTCTTATCTTTTTCCTTTCTTATCTTTCTTTCTTTCTTTCTTTCTTTCTTTCTTTCTTTCTCTTACCATCTTTCTTTCTACGAATTTCTAGCTTTCTTTCTTTCTTTCTTTCTTTCTTTCATTCATTCTGTTAATATCATTCGATTCATTCTTTTTTCTTTCTTTTTTCTTTATTTATTTTCGTTCTTCCGCTTCATTCATTCCGTTCTTTTCATTCCTTTCTTTCTTTCTTTCTTTCTTTCTTTCTTTAACCGGTTTCTCATTCAGTATATTCTTCTATTCTTAACTGTCAGCAATTCTTTCTTTCTTTTTTCTTTCTTTCCTTCCTTCTTTCTTTCTTTCTTTTTCAGGCTTGTATTCCTACCTGCCTGTAATTTCTCTTTCTTTCTTTCTTTCTTTCTTTCTTTCTTTCTTTCTTTCTTTCTTTCTTTCTTTAACCCGTTTCTCAATCAGTATATACTTCTATTCTTAACTGTCAGGTCTTTCTTTCTTTCTTTCTTTCTTTCTTTCTTTCTTTCTTTCTTTCTTTCTTTAACTCACTACCCCTTTTCCATTCTTATCTTTTTCGTTTCTTATCTTTCTTTCTTTCTTTCTTTCTTTCTCTTACCATCTTTCTTTCTACGAATTTCTAGCTTTCTTTCTTTCTTTCTTTCTGTCTTTCTTTCATTCTGTTAATATCATTCGATTCATTCTTTCTTTCTTTCTTTCTTTTTTCTTTATTTATTTTCGTTCTTCCGCTTCATTCATTCCGTTCTTTTCATTCCTTTCTATCTTTCTTTCTTACTTTCTTACTTTCTTTCTTTCTTTCTTTCTTTCTTTCTTTCTTTCTTTCTTTCTTTAACCCGTTTCTCAATCAGTATATTCTTCTATTCTTAACTGTCAGGTCTTTCTTTCTTTTTCTTTTTTTTTTCCTTTTTTTTCTTTTCTTTCTTTCTTTCCTTTAACTCACTACCCCTTTTCCATTCTTATCTTTTTTTTCCTTTCTTATCTTTCTTTTCTTTCTTTCTTTCTTTTTTTCTTTTCTTTCTTTTCTTTACCATCTTTCTTTCTACGATTTCTAGCTTTCTTTTCTTTCTTTCTTTCATTCTGTTAATATCATTCGATTCATTCTTTCTTTTTTTTTTTCTTTATTTATTTTCGTTCTTCCGCTTCATTCATTCCGTTCTTTTCATTTCTTTCTTTCTTTCTTTCTTTTTTTTTCAATCAGTATATTCTTCTATTTTAACTGTCAGGTCTTTTCTTTTTTTTTTCTTTTCTTTCTTCTTTTTTTCTTTTCTTTTTCTTGCTTTCTTTTTCTTTCTTTACCATCTTTCTTTCTACGAATTTTCTTTCTTTTCTTTCTTTCTTTCTGTCTTTCTTTCATTCTGTTAATATCATTCGATTCATTCTTTCTTTTTCTTTTCTTTCTTTTTTTTTTTATTTATTTTTCGTTCTTCCGCTTCATTCATTCCGTTCTTTTCATTCCTTTCTTTTCTTTTTACTTTCTTTTTCTTTCTTTCTTTCTTTCTTTCTTTCTTTCTTTTTTTTTTTTTAACCCTCAATCAGTATATTCTTCTATTCTTAACTGTCAGGTCTTTCTTTCTTTTTCTTTTTTCTTTCTTTTTTCTTTCTTTCTTTCTTTCTTTCTTTAACTCACTACCCCTTTTCCATTCTTATCTTTTTCCTTTCTTATCTTTCTTTCTTTCTTTCTTTCTTTCTTTCTTTCTCTTACCATCTTTCTTTCTACGGATTTCTAGCTTTCTTTCTTTCTTTCTTTCATTCTGTTAATATCATTCGATTCATTCTTTCTTTCTTTTTTCTTTATTTATTTTCGTTCTTCCGCTTCATTCATTCCGTTCTTTTCATTCCTTTCTTTCTTTCTTTCTTTCTTTAAGCCGTTTCTCAATCAGTATATTCTTCTATTCTTAACTGTCAGGTCTTTCTTTCTTTTTTTTTCTTTCTTTCTTTCTTTTTTCTTTCTTTTTCTTGCTTTCTTTCTTTCTTTCTTTCTATTAATATCATTCGATTTATTCATTCATTAATTCATTCTTTCTTTCTGGTAATATCATTCGATTCTTTCTTTCTTTCTTTCTTTATTTCTTTCTTTCTTTATTTCTTTAACCCGTTTCTCAATCAGTATATTCTTCTATTCTTAACTGTCAGGTCTTTTCTTTCTTTTTTTTTCTTTTCTTTCTTTCTTTTTTTTCTTTCTTTCTTTCTTTTCTTTTTTTTTTTTTTTTTTTTTGCTTTCTTTCTTTCTTTCTTTTCTATTAATATCATTCGATTTATTCATTCATTAATTCATTCTTTCTTTCTGGTAATATCATTCGATTCATTCTTTCTTTCTTTCTTTCTTTATTTATTTCTTTCTTTTCTTTCTTTATTTCTTTATTTATTTTTGTTCTTGCACTTCAACCATTTCCTTCTTTCCATTTCTTTCTTTCTATTAATATAATTCGATCAATTCATTCATTCATTCATTCATTCATTCTTTCTTTCTTTCTTTCTTTCTTTCTTTCGCTCTGTTCGCCTCTGTTTCTCTTTTTTTCTTACTTTACTTCATTCTCTCGATTCATTTCTTTCTTTATTTCTTGCATCATCAGTATTCACTTGTTTCTTTCTGTTAGCATCTGACTTTCTGTCCATTCTTTCTTTTCAGACCTGAAGAACGTGATATACGCCGCAAGAAAGAATGAATGAATGAATGAATGAATGAATGAAGATAGTGAGCCAAAAGATGGCGAAGTAAAAAAGAAAAAAGAAAAAGATAACAAGAAGAAAAGAACGGATGAACTTTAAAACAAATAAAAAGAAAAAATGGATGCAAGAAGGAGGAGGAGGAGGAGGAGGAGGAGGAGGAGGAGGAGGAGGAGGAGGAGAAGGGGGGAGGAGGAAAACGAGGAAAATAGAAGAAGCGGGAGGGAAAAAAGGAGGAGGAGTAGAAGGAGGAGGAGGAGGAGGCGGGGAAGAAGAGGAAGAAAAAGAAGAAGAAAGATGGGAAGTAGAAAAGAACCGATGAACTTTAAAACAAATTAAGAGAGAAAATGAAAGCGAGAAGAAGAAGAAGAAGAAAAAGACGAAGAAGAAGAATTAAAAAGAGGAGGAAGAAGAAGAAGAAGAATTAAAAAGAAGAGAAAGAGAGAAGAAGAGGAATAGGGAAGAAGAAGAAGAATTAAAAAGACGAGGAACAGAGAAGAACAGAAAGAAGAATTAAAAAGAAGAGGAAGAGAGAAGTGGAATAGGGAAGAAGAAGAAGAAGAAGAAGAAGAAGAAGAAGAAGAAGAAGAAGAAGATAAGACGGAAATAGAAAAAAAACGGATTAATAGAGGAAATGAATGCGAGAAGAAGATGCAGAAGAAGAAGAAAAAGAAGAAGAAGAAGAAGAAGAAGAGAAGATAGGAAGGAGAAAACGGATAAACTTTAACTATGACGACGACGACGACGACGAAGAAGAAGAAGAAGAAGAAGAAGAAGAAAGAGAGGAAAAAGAAAAGAACGGATAAACTTCAAAATAAAGATAGAAGAAGATGATGATGATGATGATGATGATGATAATGATAAAGAAGGAGAAAAAGAGAAGATAGGAAGAAAAAACGAATGAACTTTAACTATGACGACGACGACGGCGAAGAAGAAAAGAAGAAGAAGAAGAAGAAGAAGAAGAAGAAGAAGAAGAAGAACGACACGAGTCTAAAAGAAGTAAAAACAGGAAGCCAGGAAAAGGTGATATGAGATTGGTTCCAAATAAAAATATCCAAACATATTTTCAAACCTTTTCCTGAGTTTAAAATCGGACAAAATATCCGACCGAAAAAAAAATAGGTACTGAATGAGAAAGTAAAGAGCCAAGACTTAGATTCAAGGTGTTTAGTGGCGGGATGGGGGTGGCTGTCGAAAGGAAGTTGGAAAGGTAATTCGAAACGCATTCTGTTAATGCTTGACATTTTCAACACGAGGCAATAAATAGCGTCCCGTGTCGATTTTATTTTGATGTCAGGTGGGGAGGTATGGATGGGGACGGAGCGTTGGCAATGTTCATGGGTATCCCGTTCGATCTCGTCCTACGCAAGTTTCTGGATTTAGTCTTTGACAAAGAGTAGAAGGGAAAAGAGGGAAAAAGAGGAAGTGAAGAGAGAGGGTAAAAGAAGAAGTGAAGGAAAGAGAAAGGAAAAGAAGAAGAGAAGGGAAAAGAAAGGGTGAGAAGAGAAAGGAGGAAAGGAAAATGGGAGGGAAGAATTACTAGAAAGAAGAAGAAGAAGAAGAAGAAGAAGAAGAAGAAAAGGGGTAAAGAGAAAAAAAGGAAAAACAAAGGAACAAGGATGAAAGAAGAAAAATCAATTGAAAGAAGGAATGGGGTCCAAGAGGCAAATAAAGAAAGAAATGAATCGATAGAAAGAAAGAAATAAAGAATTAAATGATCATAAAGAAAGAAAGAGAAAAGAAAGAAAGACAGACAGAAAGAAAGGTGGGAACATAAGGAAAGAAAGACAGCAATAAGGAAAGAAGGGGACGTAAAAAAATAAATAAAGAAACAAACAAACATACTAACAAAGAAATAACCCGAAAGAGAGAAAGAATGATGGGAGCATAACAAAAGAAAGAAAGAAAGAAAGAAAGAAAGAAAGAAAGATGGGAACATAACGAAAAAAAAGAAATAAACATACGAATCATAAGAAAGAAAGTAATAAAGAAAGCAGAGAACGGAAAGAAAGAAAGAAAGAAAGAAAGAAAGAAAGAAAAAGAAAGAAAGAAAGAAAGAAAGAAAGGAAGAAAGAAAGAAAATTAAAGAAAGAAAGAAAGAAAGAAAGAAAGAAAGAAAGAAAGGAAGAAAGAAAGAAATATTAAAAGAAAGAAAGAAAGAAAGAAAGAAAGAAAGAAAGAAATATTAAAAGAAAGAAATATTAAAAGAAAGAAAGGAAGAAAGAAAGAAATATTAAAAGAAAGAAAGAAAGGAAGAAAGAAAGAAAGAAAGAAAGAAAGAAAGAAAGAAATATTAAAAGAAAGAAAAAGAAAGAAAGAAAGAAATATTAAAAAAAAAGAAAGAAAGAAAGGAAGAAAGAAAGAAATATTAAAAGAAAGAAAGAAAGAAAGATGGGAACATAACGAAAAAAAAAAAGAAAGAAATATACGAATCATAAGAAAGAAAGTAATAAAGAAAGCAGGGAATGAAAGAAAGAAAGAAAGAAAGAAAGAAAGAAAGAAATATGGGACCATATCAAAAGAAAGAAAGAAAGAAAGAAAGAAATGAGCCGGGAGAGAGAAAGAAAGATGGCGCATAACGAAAGAAAGAAAGAAAGAAAGAACGATCATAAAGTCGTGGGATGTCAATGTCTGAAACATTTTGTATAAAAGACCAAAAACAAAACAAAAACAAAAAAACAAATAATTCTTCAAGTAGAACTCATCTTAGATATTCAAAAAGTGTGATGCTCGGGGCAGTTGCGCGGCTGAAATCTTTTGATGAATGGAATAACCTCATGAAAGCTATTTCCTCTAAAACGATTTATAATTCTAAGAATATCTAGCTCAGAATTTAAGATGGACGGAGAGTAGAGCGGCCAAAGTGCTGTCATAAAAGACAATGAAATTAATTCGAATGCATCAATGTATAATAGCAAGAACACTTCGTCTCAGAAAGGAGAGAAAACAAAAGCCAGTCAAATTTGCAGAGAAAAGCCCCGGCCATGACACAACCGAGTAAATCGTCTAATATCTGAATTTTTATAAAAAGGAATTATGTTTATGGTCTAGACCCTTGTGCAAATTATTGAAACAAAAAGAATAATTCCGTTATTATTTAATTTTCGTATGTTTCCATTAAAACATGGCCCAGTACACATGCTAATACTTCGTATATCCATTCCATGAAGTCTTTCCTTGCAGATTGATCACAGATTCTCGAATGGATTTAAATCAGGAGAGTTTCAGGACAAGTCTGTCGTACTTTGATTTGCTCACTGGTAAGGCTTGCCAGTGTGTTCGTCTAGCGTTAAAATTGTCGTACGTCTTATTGGAGTAACGTCCATCGCAGACAATGGCCGTAGGACAACAAATCGACAGTCGAGACAATAGTGTCTAAGCGTGACGGATGACGCAATATTTTTCAAGGCCAAGCAAATTTCATCATACACCCCGAAAATAGATTCATATTACTGAACACCACAGCAAAGAATCTAATCTGAGGAAAAAATAGAAATGGATTACACCCTATCACTCTAAAACTGATCGTATGGTGAAAGAAAAGAAACTAAAGCGATTGTTTCAATTAATTTGCACAAGGTTGTACACGAGGTTTCGACGTTTCTGGCCTTCTTCAGATGTCTGTCGTTGTTGGTAACCTTCTCAGAATTTCAAGGCGAAAACTTTTATTCAGTCCATGGGGCTAGATAGTTTTCAGTCTTCCATATTTAGGGGGTATTTCATCTCAGCTAACAACTTTACTCTGGCTGTAAAATCCACGCCTAATCCTAAAATTTACAAGTCTCTTATAAATGCGGTATTCATTTTTTTCTTAATGGAATGGCCCTTCGGGTTTCAGGTGATTATGAAACACCACCGATCTGCTAATGCCATCTGCATTCAGAATTTAGTAGGTTATAGTTCTCCACATCTTCCTTATCTTCCGTATGTGCGAATTATCCTGTCGTCTTGGAAGGAATAGTTTCCCTTTACCATTCAGCGTTGTCCTTCGCTTATATTGGTTCTCATCCACCGGTAGCGAGACCAATCAAGACCGATATTGTTAATAATGCTTATAATGATATAATTTTGCAAGGCCCAAGAGCTACTCAAGGTGGAGAGTTACAGAGTAAGAGGTACTAATCCCAAGGAAGGTGATAATGCCGCCAAGACGCTTAGTGCAGCGTAAGTGAAAGTGAAGGAAAATAAAATGTAAGGAACCGGAAACCCAATCAAGGGATAACCCTCTACTCCTGTTCAAAAGATCGGGGTGAAGACCATAGCTGGGTTTGGTGGTGGTGGTGGTGGTGGTGGGATGGGGCATTATGCGAAAATAAACGGAAATGACTAACCCCTACACTGAACTTCGGTTATCGATTACACTATCAGCGTCGATATCTGATCTATTACCCACACATCCGGTATTAATTCTAGATTCAGTAAATATCCGTAACTATTTAAAAGGACTTCTTTTTTTTTTTAAATCCTACACTATTTCTTATATACTACAAGGTTTATTTTTAGAGGGCACACGTTTTTCAATTGATATCGTTATTTTTCTTTAACCTAGAAACGATCTAGGCCGGTTGATATTAAATTTCACTGTTTAAGAGAATAAAAAAAAGAAGCTACTATCTGTAACATACCTAAAATAGCGTTTATGGTAGAGCTGGCCAATCCCTATTGCAGACGCTTGCTCAGGCGCATTTATTCGACACCCACAGGGCCCACCTGTAGTTTATACTGCAACTATGCTGAGCAGACCTTAGAGTTTCTGGGAAAGAGAGTGTTATCTAGTGTAATCAACAATTTTAAGAAGGCCAGCACGCTCAAGCCTCAGCCACAATGACTTGTGACTTCGTGCTAGCACAGCTATCGACAATGGGGTTCCATCTACTCAATTTCATTCACAAGGATTGGGTCAAACCGTGGTATGGTTTTCAGGCACTTTCCAATGGTGTCACACGCTGGCAATCCACCCCTCCAGTCGGATAGCATCAGGGAATTTCTTTTCTGACAAATCGACCAGGGTAAGATTCGAACCCGGGTCTCATGGTCAGAATGAGAAAGTGCCCATAAAATACCCTTTATAAATACACGGTGATGGCGTAAAGGCGTAGTGACTCGGGTTGAGGGATCGGAGAACGGAGTTCCAATTCCAGTCGAGTTCATTGTGTCCACTTACGTAAAAGGTATTAATCCATTGGGAAAAGCGTGAATCTATATTTTCTCAAGCTATTTTGAAAAATAGCAGAACGGACTGGCTCCTATAGCCTTGATTGACAGCCAGTCTACGCCGAAAATGGAATACTGTCGTCACATTTGGGCAAGAGCAGACCAGAGATCACTTTCCAGAATTGAGTTCAAAAGCATCTCCGACTCCTTGTTGGTGAAGAATTATTTTCCAGACCCCTCTCTGTTTCTCACACACAGTCTCTCACTGCTCTATCGCTATTAACATGGAAAGTGCTCGAACGAACTGCAACTCCTTGTTCCATCAGATATGAGTTTCACGGCTAGGACCCGCCATGCCAGCCACATACATAGTAGCAAACCACCCACGTTCACCCCGTATTCCATTGGCTAGAAGTAGGTTCCACTCAAACAGCTTTTTCCCGTGAACCACAACCGCATGGAACAGACTCCCAAAAGGAAGTTTCCCCGATCACTTCGATCTTAACCTGTTCAAATCACGAGTTAACCATTATTTCCCCTTCTAATCCGTATAAAGTACCCCTTACCATAGTACCCTTTACTGTATTTAGCCCCCGGGCCTTATATAGGGTGAACTTTACTGAGAAAAAAAAAAGAGAAAAGGAAACTGAATTCAAGTTACCAGCTACTTGTTGGTGTTGCCTATTTCGGCAAAGACTAGAAGTTAACTTAAAAAAAACAAATTCAGTTGTGAGAGTAGGTACGGGTAACCCCAACATCCCCGTCGGCAATCCAATTCATTATTCTCCCTTGAATGAAATTCATCTTTACAAATAATATTAATACAGTTCCATCATCCAGAGGGAAAAAAAGCCCACAAATGCTTGTAGGTCTTGCCTCTTTAACTACTGAGAGGAGGAACAGGGTAACCTCAACATTCCCGGTTCAAAAGGAGTTAGCAAGCCATTGTACTATTCTGCCTTAAATGTCACCATAAAGCCCATTGTGAGATGGAGGGGAGTGGTTAAATGAATGAATTATTAGTCGAGTGGATTTAACACCAAAATATGTCAAAGGTGAAAGTACATACTGCTTTAATAAATATGATACCAAAAGGATGAACATTTCTTATGAAGCTGTATCCCCACCCCCAAATCTGATTTCATTGCCAAATAAATAAATAAATAAATAAATGAAATATAATACGCGATTATCTCGATGAAAAACTAGCGATGATTTATGAGTGCTGCACAATATTTAGAGTTGTTAATATTCTGCACTTTGTTCTCGCATAATTTCTTTTTCGTTCTTTTTTGTTTTTTTTTGTCGCGACCCATTTTATTTAACTTGCGACCCATTAAATGGTCGGGACCCACAGTTTGAAAAATCCCTGGTTTACACGTTTATCTTTGTATCAATCGATAGTTTAGGTGTCGGTAATGTCTAAATTATTTTATTGCATAATGGGAATAGAAGGAAGAAAGAGATGATTTAAAGTGTATGGGGATCAAATATCTGTCTATATCTCTGAGATGAGGCATTATGATTGCTTGCATTCTTTACATGATTCGGGCTGATATATCGTCATCTTCATTGCCGTATTCAAAACGTTTCGTCCGTTGTACGCTCCGGCCTTCTTCAGGTGACTGAAATTTCGAACCGAACGCATTACTTCATCAACGTGGTTAGATTGTTCTAGTTCCACCTAACATGCCTCTTCCGGATGTCCCAGTTATTTCCATTTAACTCAACTCTAGGAGTTTTTGGTTCACCCCTGCTGGGAGACACATAATGATTAAATCTGAC